AATCCACTTTTGACCCGCCATCCACCAGAGCATCCATTAAGACTTTTTTGACGACTACATCTAAGATGGCGCAGGATATTTTTTCTAAAACTGATAATAAGACACATAATATCACTAAAGGTGAACGTTTAATACTTAAAAACCTTGCACAGGACCATTCTATAGTCATCCGTCAAGCGGACAAAGGAGGGGGCATTGTTCTTATGAACTACACAGACTATGCCGAAGATTTGAAAAGACAACTCCAAGATGTGGGTACATATCATCCCCTTGAGGGAGATCCCACGTCAGAGATCCAAAGGAAAATTGTGGATGTATTAGAGATGGGCCTTAGAGCGGACTTTATCAGTTTGGAATTGTATAGATTTTTATATAAATCAACCCCTCGTACTCCTATTATTTACAGCATCCCCAAGATCCACAAGGATATCAATAGACCTCCTGGTCGGCCCATTGTCTCAGCCATTGACGGTGTTTTGGAACCTATAGCCCAATGGCTTGATTTTGTTTTTAAGGGACCGGTTGAACAACTACATACTTGCATTAAAGATACGCAAACATTTATACACAGAATCAAGGAGTTGGATTTTAATAACGTAGCTCCAATTTTCATCACTATGGATGTAAAAAGTCTATATACTGTGATCCCCCATATAGGGGGTATTGAAGCAATGAGACAAGTATTGAGTGAGTCCTCCATTTACCAAGGACCACCTATTGAGTTCGTGTTGGAGTTGCTGTCTCTTATACTCCACAATAATTATTTTCGGTTTGAAAACCTATGGTACTTACAAGTGGCTGGTACATCAATGGGGTCCGCGATGGCTCCCATGTACGCTAATGCGTACATGTACGTATATGAATCTACACACATTTTAATCCCTTATCAGGACCGAATTATTGGGTACTACCGCTATATAGATGATTTGCTCATCATCTGGCGGGGTACATACATGGAAGCAGCCTCTATGGTGGAAGAGTTGAATTTATTACCTCAGCCTATAAAGTTCACAGCTAACATTAGTACAGATTGTGTCCAATTTTTGGATTTAGAACTGTCGTATGGTAATAATAGTGTCCAGTACACACTCTTTTCGAAGCCCACAGACCGCAATACGTTATTGCACGCCAGAAGTGCACATCCTGCTGCCCTGAAGAAATCAATTCCAAAGGCCCAGTTCCAGAGGGTGATCCGAAATAATTCGGATAAAGATAAGGCTGAAGTACAACTTAAGATTATGACTCAGAAATTTTTGGAAAGAGGATATAGTACACGTGTGTTGGATGATGCACTGTTGAAAGCCCGTTTGGCTCCGGTACACCCAAGAAAGGCATGTGATCCAAGATTGGTGTTTCCGATGACTTTCCATAATTCGTCTGGCCATATATCAGCTATTGTAAAGGACAATTGGAAAATGATTTCAGCGGATGACACATTGCCAAAGGTCTTTAAGGAAAGACCTCTTATTTGCTACAAAAAGAACAAGAGTCTCAGAGATATATTGGTTCATACTGATACTGTGGAGAACTATACAGGGTTGGTTAAACATAACATACGTGGAAGTGTACGTTGCCTTGGATGTGTGACGTGTGGACACATGACTCCAGCAAAGAGATTTAATCATCCTCATACGAACAGGAGTTATGATATAAAATATACCATCACTTGTAAGATTCAATTTGTTGTATATAAGTTGGTTTGCCCGTGTGGGCTTCATTACGTGGGCAAAACAGAGACCCAGTTGTGTGAAAGGATCAGAGGCCATCGGTCGAGCATTAGATTAGCCTATAGGGATGGATCATCGGACAAGCCAGTGGCTCGGCATTTTCTTGACCAAAAACATCCATTGGCATCATTGAAGTTTGTGGGCATAGATCATATTCCTCCCCCCGTAGAGGTGGTGATAGGGGAAAGATGTTACTCCAAAGGGAGGCCTTTTGGATCCACCAATTAAATACCGTGGCTCCTATGGGGTTAAATGAAAGTAACGCATTCCATTCTTTTATATGAGGGTTGACAGCTAGTTTATTTTTAATTTTTAGATTTATGTATATTAACCTTTTTCGTTTTGTCTTGTGTGTTTTTAGGGCATGAAAAGTGATTACAATTATTGTTGTATATAATCATGTTGTATATAATCATGTTGTATATATATATAGAGGTCAAAGCACACTATGATCTGTTTGCACGTTATGCATTAGCACTTTTATATTGCACTTGTATATTGCACCGATTAGCACTTTATTGACATCACTGACACTTTATATTATTGTATTCATCTTGCACTTAGATCACTTTATTAGTACAGTGTTGCTTTAAAAACCCGAGAGGGGTTAACTTACAAGTTGTTTGGGCATTGAGTTATATTCATGTTCCCGTCATGTATTATCCTATATACACTTTATGACATATTCTTATCACTTTCACTCATTTCGCACGCTCCAGTACTTCTAGGTTTTCATATTTACTTATTGAGCCATTCCTCACATTGTCCGCCGCACTAGGTTATATGTGTACATGGTTGCCAAGACAACGGTAGCACCCGACACGTAGGCACGTAACGTGAGGAGGCGGGTTACACTTGTATGCGCGCGCATACCCGGAAGAGCACAGGGTGCCGGCGGGAACACGGGGCAACACACCTGAGTGAGTACTTTCATTATAGATTTAGGTATATATTGACCATGTTTGCACTTTACTACACTGTTCTGTTTTTTGACCCTGAGGAAGGTCCCGAGCGGGGACCGAAACGTTGGTCGTAGTTTTTTAAATATGTTTGAATAAATTTTCTTGTTTTAAATCCGGAGAGCAGCCTTCCTTGTTGATTGTCTACTACATGCCTTGGAGCTCTGGTGGTGCGCCCGGTCTTGGACCTTATTGCAAGCGTGAGTGCAGGGGATATTTGGATTTTTTTATATATATATATATATATATATATATATAT